CTTTTGTTTGAAAGAAACTATTTACCAACACCCTATGGACTTTTCTAACTGTAGTAAACTTGCTTTTGTTTGAAAGAAACTATTCACCAACACGCTACGGACTTTTCTAACTGTGGTAAACTTCCTTTTGTTTGAAAGAAACTATTTACCAACACCCTATGGACTTTTCTAACTGTAGTAAACTTGCTTTTGTTTGAAAGAAACTATTCACCAACACCCTATGGACTTTTCTAACTGTAGTAAACTTGCTTTTGTTTGAAAGAAACTATTCACCAACACCCTATGGATTTTTCTAACTGTGGTAAACTTCCTTTTGTTTGAAAGAAATTACTCACTGTGTCTTATATTTTCCAAGTTTCAAAAATTCACAAAAGTTTACAACTGCAATAATAAGTTGTAGTTGTACATCTCTCTTATGGATGTTTTGTTATAAATTTTAAACTTATGCGTACGTGAGCGAAACGTCCAGTCGGAGACTCCGAGGACTCACTTCTAGCCGTCCCCAATTTTGAGCTAATGAACAGAATAAAACCAGACCAGTATCACCCACGGCCATGAGGTCCTTTGAACCAAATAACTGGATTTGCTCTCACTTTTATAACGCACCCAAACTTGGTAATGCGGAGCGCGTACAGCGGAATCGCGGCTCGTACGTTAGATCTGATCTGTAGGCTGACCAATAGACCACGCCCAGCTCTTTTGCTATAAAATCAGATTAAATAAGGATTTATTGACCCCCCCCCCCTTATTTTCGAATAAATCCACTATCTGAGGGTATTTTTGATCCTTTTCGTATTTCTCAAAAAAAATAAGAAAAACTGATAGTTTCTTTTGGATCGAGATACTGACGTTACATGACTGTTGTTATAAGATATGAGAGGCGGATTCGTGAATGTGTTTTGGTTACTTTTTGTATTTACTTTTAAACAGGCCTCCCAGTGGCACAGCGGTATGTCTGCCAACTTACAACGTTAGAATCCGGGTTTCGATACCCGTGGCGGGCAGAGCACAAATAGCCCATTGCGTAGCTTTGTGCTTAATTACAAACAAACAAACAAAACTGTTAAAAAGAAAATTATTGACGTGTAACGTACGAACAT